TGCCTTATGATTTACAAGGGCTGAATTTCGACCGAAGGTCTTGCCACACTCATTACACTTGTAAGGTTTCTCTCCAGTATGAACTCTACGATGGCATTTAAGGGAAGATGTCTGAAAGAAGATCTTGCCACACTTTTCACCTTTGTAAGGTTTCTCTCCAGAATGAAGTCTACGATGGCGTATAAGGGATGACGTATGACTGAAGTTCATGCCACACTCACTACACTTGTAAGGTTTCTCACCAGTGTGACATCTACGATGGCGTTCAAGGTATCGATTCTGATTAAAGACCCTGCCACATACATCACATTGATATCGTTTTTCTGCTAAATGGATTACCTGATGTTTCCTTAAGAGTGATCTGCAATTAAAGGTTTTGCCACTCTCATGACATTGGAAAGGTTGTTCTCTCACGTGTACTTTCTGTTTTTGTGTGAGAAATGAAGAATAAAGGAAATTAATCCCATAGTTATTAGAAACATGGATTTTGGGCCTACAAGAAATTCTTTGGGATGCTGAAACAGGGGAAGCATGATTGACAGATTTTTCAACTTGATTACCAATGTTCCCTTCAGTCTGAAATATGTGGAGTTCAGGGAGATGTGAATGAAAGCTTAATCCAAGCTGATCTTTAATAGGCTTGTTTTCAGCATGCCTTTCATCATATTGGTCTGTACTACTAGGAAGCTCTTTGGTTTCTGCCATGGGTGCTTCATGGCCATTTCTTTCATCTTCTTGCCACTGAAACTCAATGTCATGAATATCTTTCTCAATTTTCTGGAAGCAAAAATTTTCAATGTGATGACTTTCATGTGTTTCCAATGTCCCTGTGTGGAACACTTTTGTATTGCCTGGCCCTGTGGATGAAAACTCTTTCATCATGCATTTGGAAGAGATGTCTACAAAATATAAAAACCAACAGATTATGCATCCAATTAGATACATAATGCTAAAATGTGTAAACACGACACAAAAATAATACCTATTTTAAACTTTCCAAACATGATCTTCAAAGTTTAGGAACACAAAAGGAGTGAGGTTATTTAATAAATAAAGAAGAATTACGTGGACTTCAAACCATTTCTACAGAAGCCTATTTCCAAAATCATGAGAAAACACTGACCAGACACCAGCATGTGTGAGCCTAAAGCAAGGAGTATTTTTCCACTGTGACCATAAAGTGTATAACAGTCTGCAAAAAAATATCATTGTCACATCAATGAAGAGAAACATATGTATTCTTCATATTTATAGCATATTTCCTGTATACAAATAAATGCTAAAGAACCACACAGTATACTGCATTGATAAATAATCTTTCATGAGCTCATATAAGGATAACCAATATCAATGGGAATTCAGTATTGTCAAACAATCATAGCACTGAGAAGATAAGAAAAGATTACAAAAATTAGTCAGGCATGGTAGTCCCAGCTACTCTGCAGCCTGAGGGACAAAAATCGCTT